GGACGTGTTCCAAGAGTCATACAGTCCGGCATTCGAAGCATGGGAGTACCTGATGGAAACTTACCAGGCGAAGGATTCGGTCGCAAAAGCGTCTCTCCAGAGGCAATTGGACAACCTGAAGATGGGGAGCCAAGAAAGGGTGGAGGAATATATCAACAGAGCAACTGCAATTCGGGACAAGCTAGCTATGGCAGGAAAATTGGTGGATGAAGATTCATTCACCTTGAATCTGATTACCGGGCTGCCGCCGCATTGGGAGGAGCTAAGGCATTCGGCAATGCTACACGACATCTCAGACAGTTACACACTACAGCGAATGATGATTCAAGAACAACGCTACCAAGACCTCATTAGCAAAACCAACCGTGACAAGCGTCCTCCTCGCATGGCTGGTCAGGCACGTGGAGATACTTCACCAGCAAAGGAGAGAACCGAGGGCAACCAGAATACAGCAAGGTCAACGGGAGGACAGCATGCGACGGGTGGAGAAAAATTCAAAGGCAACGAAGGAAAGGGGGGGCGGTCAAACCTGGTGTGTTGGTACTGCAAGGAGTCTGGCCACCCGTTCTACAAGTGTCCTAAGGCACCTCCGGGTTGGTCACCACCAGGTTGGGAACCACAAAACAGAGGGAGGACAAACCAACGCACCTGGAGTAGCCGATCTTCCTCGCCTCGGAGGAGTGAAAGCCCGAAACGTGACAGCCAAGCATCAAAACAGCAAGGGGCAGCTGGGGGAGACAACAAGCGAACCGTTACATGCGTGGCAACGGTTCGATCGTCACATGCAACGTTACCAGCCGCCGGAGGGTCGATGTGGTTGCTGGACAGCGGATGCAGCAAACACATGACTGCAGAGAGGGAGTGGTTTGAGGGATTAGAGGAGTTGACCGAACCTGTTTACGTGGAGCTTGCTGATGGGAGCCATCTTTTGAGCTCGATGGCAGGGACAATTCGAGCAACGGGACCTGATGGAACAACAGTACGTTTCACCGATGTGCTCTATGTCCCCGGCTTGAAGTCCAACCTCCTCTCCTATTGCCAACTGCACAAAAAGGGAGCTCGGATTCGCACTCGAGACGACGGACACATCGTGATTGCTATGGCCGTTGAAGATGAGCATGTGGTCATTGGGGTTGGGATGATCATGCATGGTGTGCTCATGGTGCAATATGAGCCTGCGCTTGCATCTGCCCGTAGATTTGATCATTACCATGAGAATGGCGCATCGCATGAGCATGATCATAATGGGGTGCATCCACTTTCTGCTCATGCTTCCATAACTTATCGCATGGCCCACAAACGTTTGGGTCACCCATCATACACATCCATGGATGCCACATTTCGGAATGGGGATGTCGAAAGACTCTCCATATCAGACAAGGTCAACCCCCTCAAACCCCCGTGTGACTCATGCCTTCGAAGGAAAATGAGCAGGGCCCCATTTCCCACAGGTGAAGACAAGCGGACTACTCGACCTTTGGAACTCGTGCATAGCGACATCATGGACTTGGGTGACACTCACCCCTCACTTCGCTATGTGCTGACGCTCAAGAACGACTACACCAACTACCTGTGGGTGGCGCCGTTGGCTCGCCGTTCCAACATGGCAGCTGTCTTTTCGACCTGGCACCGCGAGATGAAGACCAAGCTGCCCACGAAGCCTCTGGCTGCCTTGCGCACGGACAACGGAGGGGAGTACACAGCCAATGCGTTCACGGATTACCTGGGTTCTCAAGGCATCAATCACCAAACGTCTTTACCATACACGCCGCAGCAGAATGGAGTCGCCGAGCGGGTTAACCGCACGCTCATGGACCGTGTGCGTGCAATGACTACCGGAGCAAGCCTTTCATCTAAGTTCTGGCCTTGTGCGCTGGAGTATGCCGCTTGGTTACACAACCGCATCAGCTGCAGTAGCAACCCCTCCGCACACTCACCGTACTTCATGATGACGGGGAAGGCTGCAAATGTCTCCATGGCAAGGACCTTCGGATGCCTCTGCTACTATCTCCCTCCCCAAGGTAGATTCGGGAAGTTTGAGCAACGAGGACGGGCAGGCATGTTTCTCGGCCTCTCTAACTCACGCAAGGCATGGATCGTCCGGGACTAGGCAAGCGACGTCGACACGGACATACGCTCAGCTCGTTTCTTTGACGACCTCATGCTCCCAGACGCCGAGTCCCTGCTCGAACGCCAACGGTACATGGATGAAGTCTCACCTCATATCTCGGAGTGGATTTCAGGGGGAGACGGCGTTGGGTCAGCATTTGACTCGTTTCCCGCATCCCACACTTCCTCCCCATCATCCTCTGACGCAGCTACAGCAGAACAACATGGAACTAAGGCAAATGACACCGCTCAAGAAGACTCACCAGCAGCTAGTGAAGCCGATCCAGGAAAAGAGACAACGACAAGTGACTTACATGCGGCAGGCATCTCTGTTTGGGAAGGTGCAGACAACAACGAACCAGACAATGACGCAAGTCATCTCTATGACTTTGCCTACCCACCCGATGGGATCCTGCTGGCTGCTCCTGACGTGCCGCCACGGCGGGTTCACTTCAACCCAACGGTAACAGTGCTTGGAGAAGGACAAGGGACGGACAACATGACAGGCCTGGACGTACTGCTTGGGAGGCGGCAAGCAGGACTAACAGTCACACAGTTTCCCAACTTGCAGCAGCAGAACGTGCTAGCATGTGCAGCAACCGGCGTCCCCATGCTGGAGCTGACATGCAAAGAGCCAAAAACACTTCAAGAAATGACCAAGGACCCGTACGCACCTTTTTGGCAAGCCGCTGTGGATGCAGAATTGGCCAAGTTCGATGAGTTGGAAGCATACAAAGTGGTGGACAGAGCGGACGTACCGAAGGGAACGCCAGTGCTGACGGAAGGAGTCGTCTTAAGGGTGAAACGAGATGAGCACGGACAGCCAAACCGGTTCAAAGCGCGCTGGGTGGTCAAGGGATGTGGACAGACATGGGGAACATACGATGAGACGCATGCACCAGTCAGTACCTCTCGCATGTTCGTCGCTGGTGCATCTGCTACGAAGCGGAAGGTGGTGCAACTAGACATCTCCAATGCATTCCTATACGCTCCAATCGACCGGAACGTATACGTGAGAACACCAGAACCAAGGCAGGACGGAAACAAGATCTGGAAACTCAAGCGCAGTGTATACGCTTGTGGCATCAGCACTTACGGGGTGTCCTGTTGGAGCTGGACATGGTGCAATCCGAATCGGACCCATCCCTATTTATCTAGACAAGAGAAGGCAAGGACACGGTGTGGCTGCTCACATACGTTGACGACATCCTCATCCAGTCTCATGACGACGAAGGCATTGAAGCGGTGATTCAACAAGTGAAGCAGAATTTTATCTTGACCGTTAGCAAGATCACGACGCAGTTTTTGGGGCTCAACATCACCGCTGACAACAACTCGATCTCGCTTGGCCTCACAAAGTACATCTCACAGGCTTTGGCAACCTTCAAGATGGAGGGCAGCCGTTCCGGAGTTCGGACATCGATCACCAAAGAACCAGCACCACACGGAGAACCACCGGACGAGGTTGATGGTCAATTGGTGCTGAAACAAGTTGGGACATTGCTGTACATCTCAACAGCAGGGAGGCCGGACATAACCTATGCAGCACATGTGCTAGCCAGCCAAGCAAGCAAACCAACGGCAACAACAGTGCTTGGAATCCACAGGGTGTTCAACTACTTACAGAACACTGCAGACATGGGGCTGGTCTATGGAGGAAAGGACTTGGTTCTCCGCGGATACACAGACTCGGATTATGCGAACGAAGCAGGGCGTCACTCCGTTGGAGGCTACGTGTTTACCTTAGGAGGAACTGCTGTCAGTTGGAGGACCAAACGGCAAACGGTCATTGCAACATCCACAGCCGAAGCAGAATACATTGCACTGTTCGAAGGGGCAAGGGAGGCTACATACCTTCGCCGTTTGTGTGACGACCTCGGTTTTCGCCAGCGCGAACCTACCGTCATCTTTGTGGATAACCAGAGCGCAATTGCACTTGCAACCGGGGAGCAGATGAGTCAACGCATCAAGCACGTGGACGTACGTTACCATTGGACGAGGAAGGCCATTCGTGATGGAGTTGTGCAGCCGGAGTACTGTCCAACAGCTCAGCAAGCTGCGGATTATCTCACCAAGCCCCTCACAGCAAAGCAACATCTCACCTGCAGCCACTTGTGCGGTCTCCAACCGATTCCACCTAGAGCATTGTCTACAACCCGTCGGAAGATTGCAAGTGCTGAAGCTGCGCTCTCACGTCCGAGCTCTTCACGGGGTGCTGCACTACGGCATCACGTAACTCCACGCATCTCACTCATGTGTTTGGTGCTATGTGCGTGCTTAGGCATGAGCAGCACTACAAACACGCGAGTGAGAGGGGGAGTGGGGTGTGGAGTATCTTGGGGTGCAACCATTCAAGATTTGATCTTACAACCATTTGTTTTTGCCATCACACGAGTCAGCACATATGCATCAAGCGAAGACCTACTACAATCCATGACAAGATCAGCCATCCAATTCTGCTGGACGGTCACAACCACTCGCCAACTGCAACAGCCGTTCTGAAGACTTCATATGCCTGCTGGTTTCAGGGGGAGAAGAAACAAGTCAGCATGAGGCAAGCAGACAGAGGGAATCACAAGAGGAAGTTAACATAGTCCTACTAAATACAAGGGAAGACAGCTGGAGTCAGGCGCTGCTGGGACTGCTCACCAAGATGACACAGGTGCCGCAGGGCGTCAGGGGGAGCTGCTGCAAGCAATCAGGTGGTGCTGCTGGCACGGTGATGCTGCTGCCACCAGTCAGGCGGTGCTGCTGGCAGACGTTTGCAGAAGCGGCCGCCAGGAGCAGAAGCAGCCGCCAGGAGCAGAAGCAGCCGCCAGGAGCAGATGCAGCCGCCAGGAGTAGAAGCAGCCGCCAGGTGCTTGCGTACCAGTTGCAGCTGCCTCCGGGCGTCACCTAGTATAGGGGGAGCAGCACAGGGTCATGGGGAGCAGCACAGAGTCACAGGGAGCAGCACAGGGTCATGGGGAGCAGCACAGAGCAAAGGTAACATGGGTTTCACAGTCAGGTTCGACGAAGCATTCTCACCTTGGCAGGAAGGAGAAAGCCGTGCGCTGCCAGGAGTAGCAGCAGTGGGCCGCCAGGAGTAGCAGCAGTGGGCCGCCAGGAGCAGCAGCCGTGCGCCACCAGCAGAAGCCGCCACATGCGATGTAATGCAGCGGCGCGCATGCTGCTGCAGTCGTGCGCCAGCCGCTGCTGCCGATCGCCACGAGCCCCATGAACAGCAGTCGCGCGCAAGGAGCTGCAGCGCGCAGGTTGTCAAGCGAGGAGGTCACGGCAGCCGCGCGACAGAAGCAGCAGTCGCGGATCTGGCCGCGGCTGCAGGAAACGCGCATCCGGCGCTGCAGGTCGTCACGTGCGCTGCTGTCACCGGGCGCCAGCCATGACATGGCGAGCGCTAGTGATGCGCGCTGGCTGCAGCTGAAGGACATCACGCCATGGCGCAGCACAACGCACACCAGAAAATCGTCGCGACTAAAGCAGCAGTCGTGCGACAACAAAGGAAATCGGGTCAGCACTAGAAGGCGGGAAAAATCAGCGCGTCATAGGTCACATAACCAGAAAGAAGCCGTGCGCCATGAAGATATTCGCCAGCAGCAGCTATCTTAAGACCAAGGGAGGCAATCCGCCCTGCTGCTGGGAATCGGGCTGACCTAAACTGTCATTTCACCGTGGAAAATTGCAGCTTGAGCAGCAGCCATCGATCTGGAGGTCCTGCATGAAACAAAAGACTGGGAATCGAAAATGACGAGACAAGCCAGACCCCTGCTGGAGAAGGGTGTGTGAGAAACGGGAACTGTGAAACGCGACAAACCGAAAGGAGAGCTTGACAGGGGAGCGTACAGTGCACGGGAGTTCGAGAAGCGGGGACGAGAATCAGAAACCCTAGGAAGGAGGAACTTGTGTCGCGACAAACAAGCCAGGTCGCCAACTTGGGAGGAACGTGCACCTGCGCGTCGTCACAACTGCTACAGAACTTTCCGACCATCACAATTTCCCACCAATGCAGTTTCTGACCACGAAACGGTCAACGTAACTCAAACCGCCGCAATCCCCGCCGGAACTGAAGTTACTTCCGCAATCAACTCCATTCAATCAATCCTGCCGCAATCAACGCCAGTTACAGGTATCCTCCAAGACAAAACTCAGTAAAACCTACAGCAAGGGGGAGTGTTAAATACACCAACATAAGATATTACAAATGCTGTTAGATTTTACTGTACTGTTCCTTTATAAGACTCCCAGCCCTCCAATAATTGTACAATTATTGGAGGGCCAGAATTATTGGAGTCCAGAATTATTGGAGGGTAAGAATTATTGGCGGGTAAAATTATTGGTGTAGGATTATTGGTGTGGACAGGGCCCTCCTGATGGGGTGACCTGCTGACATATATACCCTGCTCTGTCATTCCAGAACATAAATCAATTCCATTATTCTCATTCTGGTTTCAACCATTCAATGCAAGTCTTCCAGCCTTGCTCTTTCTACAAACTAGCTTCCGCAACGCCGGCATCATGCCTTTCTAGCATACATCAGGCCCTTCTCATCATCACTCCCGATTCTCTTCGCCCAGACGCACTTGCTTCGCTGTACCCCCTTCCCGAGTCAATACTGATCGATCCTCCCTCGCTGCCTTCCCACGAGCTCCCTATTCCAACACCCCCCGTTCGCCTCTTGATGCGCGTGGTGAGTGGGAGCAGCACGCGGTACAGTATCCACGTGAGGAAGGGGGATGTGATGAGCCATGCAACCACCTGGAAGAAAGAGGGGGGATGAAAACGGAGGAGATTCCAACTGAAGGGGGAATCCAGGAATACGAATTGCAATGGGTATCTGTGTATGGGAGACGCAAGAAAATGAGTGAGTAGAATGGCACGATACAAACAGAGTTACGAGACTCGGGTGATACATCCAAGGTAAGGAATCATGGAAGAAGCAGTAGCAGCAGCAGCAGCAGCAGAGGCAAAGAGCAACCCACCGCATGCACAAGCCCCATGAGCAAGCGAGAGGAGGATTTTCCTGTGAGTGCGCCGACCAGCGCCGATGGCGATACAGAGAGTCGGTCCGCTTGGAATATAAACTCGCCCAGCCGCATGTACGGGATGATGAGGCTGGTGAGAGCGGTGGGGAGGGGTCGGGAGGGGTGGGGAGAGGCGGGGAGTTGTGGGGAGGGGTGCTGAGATATGTGATTCAAGGTGAGAGGCAGGCAGGAACGGGATGATTGAAAAATATTGCCCAGCTCAGCACAATTTTGTCAGCACGACAGCTGTCACCGTAACAAACTGTCATGTCATTCCCGACCAACCACTGCTGCTATCCCCCCCACTCGGAAGAGCCATTCGTACCTGAGTTCAAAGGGTGTGGCAAGGAAGGTCGCAGCCATCATGGATGGCGCATGGGCGGGCACGCCACACGCATTGAGTAGGAATGCTACTGCCGTGCACAGCACTGCTGTGAGACCTGGCGAGGCGAGTAGGGGCAGAGGGTGTGAGAGTGAGGGGGAGTGTGAGGGTGAGGGAGAGAGTGAGAGGGGGAGTGAGTGTAAGAGCGAGTGCGTTGAAAGCGTGAGCGCGAGTGCAAAGGTGCTGACTTGGACGGAGAGAGGGGAAGAAGGAGAGGGAAGTTTCTAACATGCAACAAAAGGTGAAGACTTTGGTGAGTGATACGCAGAGACGAGGATCTTACTCACCAAGTGCACCTAGAGGAAGGGAGAGGAAGAAGCGAGAAAGAAGGAAAACGAGTGTGTGTGGTGTGTGTGTGTGTGAGAGAGAAAGAGATGCAGAGACTACCTGGTGTGCTGTGATGAAAAGACGGATAAGAGAGAGAGAGAGAGAGAGAGAGAGAGAGAGAGAGAGAGAGAGAGAGAGAGAGAGAGAGAGAGAGAGAGAGAGAGAGAGAGAGAGAGAGAGAGAGGGTCGTCGCTTAAGCGTCAAAACAGCGAGAGGTGCACTGCACCCACCACAGAGGGGGAAGAGGCCGGCAGTGAAGCCTGCCGCAAGCGAGAACGCCAGCTGCTTCGGCGGAACCCCCCTGAGGGCGCACGGAAATTTCGGCGGCGCAGGCGCGGGTGGGGGAGGGGAGGGGGGGGAGGGAGAGAGAGCAGGGGTGGGGGCGGGGAGGAGGAGGTGGGGGAGGCGAGAACGGGGATGGTGTGTGTGTGGGAAGGCGGGAATTGGGGCCGGGAGATGGGGTGGATGTGGGGAAAAGAATTACAGCATATTATCTAACTGCCGCTGGGGGCATCGACTCGGCAGTCCTGCTGAGGCTACTTAATCTGACGCAACGTAGACTCTCGGTTAGACTCGATCCAGACCTCAACGGAAAGCCGTCGGCGCATCGAGTCAAGATCCGACCGAGATTCGACCTAGATTCGATCGAGATTCGGCCTATTTTCGACCAATTGATGGCAGCCCTCGAACCCTTCCACTCTCACTCTCACCCACCCGCGCGCTCACCCGCGGAAGATGGCGAGGGTGGGATCCAGCACGGACGCCTTGAAGCGCCGCGTCACCCACCAGCTGCGCCACCCCGCCAGCACGCCGCCCCCTCCGCCCCTGCCGCTGCTGCTCCCGCCGCCGCCGCCGGCCGGGCCGCCGTGGTGCTGCGAGTACATCGCGGGCCCCCCCGGTACCGCGGGAATCCGAGCCGCGAGTTCGACGGAGAGCCGCGGAGGGGATGTGGATGAGTTTGATACGGCTTGACGGAGAGGAGAGGTTTGAGGACGGTTGATCTGGCGCGACTAGGCGTAGAATCTAGGATCTGGGTCTAACGTGGGATAGTTGCGAAAAGCTGCGTTCGCGGCAGGCTCGATGCTGGTACCGTGTAGGAAAAGGTTCCCAAACGCCGAGTGATTGAATCGGAGACTTATGCTGGAGTTGGCGGGAAGTGGATGTGCCAGCGTTTTCAATTATGGTGTATAGGAATAGAAGCAAACTATAAAGTGTAGCGTCTATTCTGTACACAATATCTCATAGGACCAAAATGTGTTCATAGATTGGCAACTTGTGGTGGCAGCTGGACGGTGACAGATGGCCGGCTGTCATCGGACGGTGATGACTCTCGTACAGTCCGAACAGGGAGTCGCGCACCTCCGCCATTCCTCCCTGCCCTGCCTGACCGTGAATGTTGCGATTGCGGACCACTGAACACAGCTTGTGCGATGAAGTTGCGATTTCGCGAGGGCACGTCAAACGTTTCCACTCCGGCCATTATCTCCGATACTCAAGTTTTGCCTGAGCGCGTTCTCAGGTGTAATCAGCAACAGAATCACGGTTTCGCGATATAGTGGGGAGACTTTCTGTATCATGTTTGTTTACATTCACTCAAAAGAAATAATTCCAGCGCTTTCAAAAAAATAAATATAAAACCCGTAGTGAACCTAGATGATTTCCGGGAAGGATCAACCCTAAATACCGAAAGCCGCCCAATATTTTGGAAAACATATTGCAACCCATTTGACAAAAAAAAAATATAAAACCCAATCGGAAAGGGATCCGACTCGGGAGGCATCAACCCTAAAAACAATGCCCGTTCCCGTGTTTAGGGTTGACCCCTCTCGAAAATGCATCCAGGTTCCCTAGGGGTTTTATTGTTTTCTGTCATGCCCGAATAGTTCTCGGTAGCATCGTCTAGTGCTTTCGGTAGCGTTGTCTAACGGTCGTTTGCGCTACCGAGCACTACCAAGTGAATTATATGGGCTTCATTCTCTTACTACCTAAATTTCCGTACCTATATCCAATTCGGGAGGGTAAACTAGATGGTTCTGTTTTTGTCACTTTCCAATGAGTTCGACCAGCGTGAGAAACGTGACTATGAAGCGACGACCAATCAACGTTGAGAAAGTCAGGTTGATTACACCTGAGAATGCGCTTAGGCAAAATCTGAGTATTGGAGATAATGGCCGTTTCCACTCCCATACGTTCCGTCAAATTGTTTGGCGGATTGCGGAAGTGGGGGTGGTGGTTGGTAACGTCGGCGCGGAGCAACTCTCCGACGGCGGCGCGGCAGCAAATCTTTTGATTGGATGCGAAGCTCTTTACGCCAAACAATTTGAAGGGGAAGGGGAAAAAAGTTAGCAAAGATACAGGGGCGACTTCTCGAAGGCAGGGTAGGGCTGACCGCGCTCCGCGTCGCGTGAGTTTGGGGGAATGCAGCAAGCGCGCCACGCTTCCGCTTGCATGCAAACAAGCAGGCACGATCTGTGCGAAAAATAATTCTACCTCGCGGGCCTTCGCTGCGATGTTTTTGCTAATGTAACCAGATGAGAAAATCTTCGTCCTCTATCGTGAAAACTTGTTTCACCCCTGCCGCTCACTCGCATTCCCATTTTCGGCTAATGAGCACCTCCACCACCACCACCACAATGTTTGTCATAAGACCCAATTTCTTTTTCAAAGACGACTCGACAGAGACAAAGAAACTTGAGACAGCCAGTGACAGCTGCGAAAGGCAACATAGGTTGAACGTTCCCATTTTCATTACCTGCTTTTTAGTCCAGCTGTGTAGCGGATGACGCCAGTAGCTGCTCCGTGTTAGTGACGCATAACGACCTACTCACTTGTCACAATCCACCTGCAGGGCGCTCTTGTAAGAAATTCGTTAGTCGACTCAAAATACACCAGAAATCATCAAGGTCGCAGCCGGATAGTAACTGTCGAGTTGAGACGTAGCACTGCTGGTATTCTTTCCCTACTAGTGCTATCGTAGGCTACTGATAGTCGTGCTATGGTGGGGCCCCTTCCTCGTTCTTTCTAGAAACACTCGCGAGCTGCTGCTACGAGCGCCGACGCTGGTCATGGCGGGATCCGCGCGGCATATCGACGCGGCGCGCGGCGATTTCAAAAAGCAAGCCGCCGTGCCGTTGCAGCCTTTCCGCGCGCCGAACCCCGGAAGTTATGCGCCACCAGGCCCACTCGTGGCGGAAGCGGCGGAAGAAGTGGGGGGAGCACTCGCTGCAGGCCGCGTTACGGCTGAATTTCGCGCCGCTTTCCCTGGCGGGCCGGCAGTTGCGGCCGCAGCGGATGCGGCAGACGCCGCAGAAGCAGCAGCACCGGCGATAGTCGTGCCTCCGCGAGAGGTGGTGCAATATGCGGCAGCAGCACCTTATCTCTCCCCTACGGCTCCCCCTTCCGCCACATCCAGGCGCTCCGCATGCGGTACCACGGCGGAAGGCTTTCTCCGCTCGTCCAACGAGTCTCCGCAGTCCGAGCGGCGGGGAGTGATCACCGCCGACGCTGCTGCCGCGACGCCGCCCCTCGCCTTACCCGCGCCTCCCGCGCCTTCCGCGCCTTCCGCCGCGTTCGCCGCGCATCCTTCCGCCTTACCCTCGCCGCCGTCGGTTGCGCCGCTCATGCCGTGGCTGCTGCGAGTGGACTCCGCGTCGCTGGAGACCTATCACATGCTGACACGTCAGCCGTCGCTCTACTCGTTCTCCCTGGCGGACCTCCCCCAGACGTCTTTAATCTCCCCTTCCGCGCTGCCTTCTCCCGCCGCGTTCGGCGCGGATGGTACGCTCTCCAGGTTAAACCGTTTCAGCAATGGCCCTACTCCTGGCGGTGCTGCTGCTATGGATGTTGCCTCTGCAGATTCTCCTGCTGTCGCCTCTTCTGATGTTTCTGCTCCTGGTTACTCTCCTGCTCCCGCTTCCGCTTCCGCTCCTGCTCCTGACCTCTCTCCAGCTCCTGCTACCACGGCACGCCCTGCTGGTCTGAATCTGATAACAACGTTGTCCGGCAACAACAAAGCACGAGACAGCACAGACGATGCTCTTGGGGATCCTGGGATTCCTCAATTGTTCTTCGACGCAGCAGCACGAGATGGCACACAGCACGGCGTGGGTCAAGCTGAGGTGGCGGAGGCAAAGCGAGGGATGGGGGAGCCTGAGAGGCCGCCGCAGGGGGCGCAGGCGGCGCAGGCGGCGCAGGGGTGTGAGGAGGAGACGCCGGGGTGCTCCGTTTCCTCAAGTAAGGAGAGAAAAGCGAGGAGACACCCCAGTTTCCTTGTGCTCCCTTTGCAAAGGGACTCAAGTAAGGATGTGTCTGATCCTGTGACTGTACCTGTGCCCGTACCTGTGGCTGCGAGTGTACCTGAGTGGCAATCCAAAGGTCGAACTTTACTGATACCTTTTCAACTTGAAAAGGTACCTGGAGGAACCGTTCAGCAATCCTGTGAAGTCATTCCCGCGGATGCTGCTCCTTGTGCTGCTGCTGCTGCCGATGGCGACGACGCTGCCTCAAGAGCGGTGAAAGCTCCTGGTTCTGCTCTTTCTGCTGGTACTGCTGCCGCTGCTGGCGGTACTGTTGGTTCTGCTGGTACTGCTGCTGCCTGTGCACCCAGCAGCAGACCTCTCACTGTAGCTTTCACCGAGCAGAACCGCACTGTCTGTGCCCCTGGAGGTGCCGACGCAGTGAGTGCCGACGACGGCACTGCTGATCGTCATGATAATGATGCTAGGGAGGCGTTTCGTCCCACGGATGTAAGCAGGAGGGCGGCGGGCAAGGCCGGTGAGGGGCTGGAGGGGGGTGAGGGGGGTGACGGGGGTAAGGAGGGTGGGGGAGATGTAGGGGGTGCGGGAGGAGAAGGGAATGGGGGGGCCGTGGATTTAGAGCAAGTGCTTTTGCAGCTGACGGCTACTGACGGCAGTGTGAATGGGGAGGAGGGGGGAGGGACTACCAAAGCGGCTGATGCGTGGGAAATGGTGGGAGGTGTGGTGAAGTTCGTGAGGAGGGAGCTTCTTGCCTCCCCAACTCCTGCTCCTGCTCCTGCTGATGCTGATGCCGCTGCTGCTCCTGCTGATGCTGATGCTGATGCCGCTGCTGCTCCTGCTGATGCTGATGCTGATGCCGCTGCTGCTCCTGCTCCTGCTGATGCTGATGCCGCTGCTGCTCCTGCTCCTGCTGATGCTGATGCCGCTCCTGCTCCTGCTCCTGCTCCTGCTGATGCTGATGCCGCTGCTGCTCCTGCTCCTGCTGTCCCTGTTCCTGCTGCCGTTTCTGCTCCTACTGATGCTCCTGATGATGCTGTTACTGCCGCTACTGCCGGTGGTGCTGGCGGTGGTGCTGTTGCTGACTGCGCTGCTGCATGTGCAGGTGTGGGTAAGCGTCAGCATACCACACTGTCTGCTACTACTAACATGGCATGCGCTCAAGCAGCGTGTTTTGAGACGTCAGGACCCACCGCAGAAGCAGCTGGTAGTAGTGTTGGCGGTGGTGGTGGGTTTGCTGAGCGTGCTGCTGCATCTGCGGATATGGGACAGTGTCAGCCTATCACACTGTCTGATAACATAGCGTGTGCTCGAGCTGTGTGTGAACCGTCAGATCCTACCGCAGCAGCTGCTGTTGCACTGGAAGCAGCAGCAGCAGCATCGGCCGCAGCAGCAGCAGCAGCAGCTCGTGTTCCTGAATTGCCAGAGCCAACATCAGAAGCAGGAGTAGCAGCAGCAGCAGGAGGAGCACGTTCAGTGTCAGCCACTGCAACAGAAGCAGCGCGATCAGAATCCGAAGAAGTGGCAGCGGTAGCGGTAGCAGCAAGAGCAGCCCTGGTGAAGCAGCTAGCAGCATCCGTGCCAGCAGCGTCGCTGCAAGCTGTTATAGACGTTCTCATGCAACAACCACAGCAGCCAAACACGCAGCAGCAGTATCACCACCATCACCAGCAGCAGCAGCAGCAGCAGCAGCAGCAGCAGCAGCAGCAGCAGCAGCAGCAGCAGCAGCAGCAGCAGCAGCAGCAGCAGCAGCAGCAGCAGCAGCAGCAGCAGCAGCAGCAGCAGCAGCAGCAGCAGCAGCAGCAGCAGCAGCAGCAGCAGAAGCAGCAGCAGCAGCAGCAGCAGCAGCAGCAGCAGCAGCAGCAGCAGCAGCAGCAGCAGCAGCAGCAGCAGCAGCAGCAGCAGCAGCAGAAGTCACTTCAGCGACAAAAGCATCTTCATCCTCCCCATTCCCATCATCCGCAACACTCCACGGCCTCCCATCCTTATCCTTCGCCTCCTGCTCCTGCTTCTCTATCCCTCCCCACACTCCACTCTCTCCTCCCACTACACCCTTCCACTTCCTCGTCCCCCTTCTCTCCCCCCTACCTTCCCTCGCACACTCGCCAACTGCTCATGTCTGCTCTTCTCAACCCTATCTCGCCTCCTTCTCTCACAAACCAGAACCCAGTCAGCACCGCTCTGAACCGCATTCAAGACCACGTGCAGCACCGCATGCGCATGCATCCGTCCCCAACCCCTCCGCACCCTGCAGAACCGCTCAGAACCGCAGAGTCCCCTTTCTTTCCCGTCTCCTCTGCCCAGCGGGAGCAGCGGGAGGAGGCGGGGAAAGTGGAGAGCGAAAGAGCACCACATGTTCTGAAGCGAGCAGTGAGAGCAAGTGGCTTGCCTCCGTTGTTGGACTCAGCACCCACAATCACCACCGCCGCTCCTCTTACCACCGCTCCTGCTTCTGCCGCTCCTATTTCCGCCGCTCCTATAATTGCTGCTCCTGTTACCACAGCCCCTGCTACCATCGGCACTGTTACCACCGCCCCTGTTACAGCCACCACCGTCGCCACCGCTGCTGCTGATTCTGCTGCTGCTGCAGCTACTTATACTTTAAAGGATTCGGCAACAGAAGCAAAGGTCTCTACACCAATCACTCCTCTCAATCCCCCATTTCCTCCAGTTTCCCACCCTTTCCCTTCTAATCCTCTCCCATCCACTCCCTTTTCCACTCCCCCTTCCACTCCCCATTCCGCCCCTCTCCCCAAAAACATCAGCCCTTTCACGCCAACTGTCCCCTCCGCCTTGTATCTACCTTCCCCTGCCAGCATACCACCAGCAACCCCACCCACCCATTCTGCCACGACAGCGCACCCACTGATATCCCCTATTACCCATGTCCCCCCAATAGTCGCCCACTTGCCACCTCTATCTGGTCTCCCAGACTCCGCCCCTCTGTCTTCGAAACCAGCTTCACCTGCGCCCCTCCATGCACCGAGTCTGCAAGCACCGAGCCTGGCAGGTTCGGCACGTCCGGCAGGTCTGGCGGGTCTGGCAGGTTCGGCAGAAAGGGAGTCGGTAGCATGCCCCACTGCCACATCTCTCCTGCCTGATTTCCTCTCAACCGCAGCATCACTACCCCTGCAGCACCACCGCTCGCACTACTACCACCAGTCGCAGCAGCAGCAACAGCCGCAGCCACAGCAGAAGCACATGCATCAGCACTTGCCGTTTCCTCTTTCCACCCACTCCCCTTCGAACGGGGGACACGTGGGTCTCTTCTCTTCCACCGCTGCTGCTGCTGCTGCTGGAGGGAAGGAGGAAGAGGGGGGTTGGGATTATCATACGTGGGAGAGGAGGGCGGGCAGACGGAGAGGAGTAGGAGAAGGGTTAGGAGGAGGAGGTGTGAGTGGGGAAGGCGTGGGAGTGAGAGGGGGGATGAAGAGGACGTGGGAGCAGATGGAGGAAGAGGGCGGGTTGCCTGTGCAGGGGGGAATGGGGATGGGGGCAATGGAGAGTGCAGGTGGAGCGATATGGGATGGGGAAGGGACAGGAGGGGCGGAATTGGTAGGAGGAGTGGGAGGGGCAGGAGTGTTGGGAGGGGCGAGAGGGGCGGGAGGGGATGTTGTGGAGAGGCGGCAGCAGAGGATGATTAAGAACCGGGAGTCTGCTGCTAGATCCCGAGCGAGGAAGCAGGTACGAGCGAGGAAGCAGGTACGAGCGAGGAAGCAGGTACGAGCGAGGAAGCAGGTACGAGCGAGGAAGCAGGTACGAGCGAGGAAGCAGGTACGAGCGAGGAAGCAGGTACGAGCGAGGAAGCAGGTACGAGCGAGGAAGCAGGTACGAGCGAGGAAGCAGGTACGAGCGAGGAAGCAGGTACGAGCGAGGAAGCAGGTACGAGCGAGGAAGCAGGTACGAGCGAGGAAGCAGGTACGAGCGAGGAAGCAGGTACGAGCGAGGAAGCAGGTACGAGCGAGGAAGCAGGTACGAGCGAGGAAGCAGGTACGAGCGAGGAAGCAGGTACGAGCGAGGAAGCAGGTACGAGCGAGGAAGCAGGTACGAGCGAGGAAGCAGGTACGAGCGAGGAAGCAGGTACGAGCGAGGAAGCAGGTACGAGCGAGGAAGCAGGTACGAGCGAGGAAGCAGGTACGAGCGAGGAAGCAGGTACGAGCGAGGAAGCAGGTACGAGCGAGGAAGCAGGTACGAGCGAGGAAGCAGGTACGAGCGAGGAAGCAGGTACGCGCGAGGAAGCAGGTACGCGCGAGGAAGCAGGTACGCGCGAGGAAGCAGGTACGCGCGAGGAAGCAGGTACGAGCGAGGAAGCAGGTACGAGCGAGGAAGCAGGTACGAGCGAGAAAGCAGGTACGAGCGAGAAAGCAGGTACGAGCGAGAAAGCAGGTACGAGGGAGAAAGCAGGTACGAGGGAGAAAGCAGGTACGAGCGAGGAAGCAGGTACGAGCGAGGAAGCAGGTACGAGCGAGGAAGCAGGTACGAGCGAGGAAGCAGGTACGAGCGAGGAAGCAGGTACGAGCGAGAAAGCAGGTAGGAGCGAGACAGCAGGTACGAGGGAGACAGCAGGTACGAGCGAGAAAGCAGGTACGAGTGAGAAAGCAGGTACGAGTGAGAAAGCAGGTACGAGTGAGAAAGCAGGTACGAGTGAGAAAGCAGGTACGAGTGAGAAAGCAGGTACGAGTGAGAAAGCAGGTACGAGTGAGAAAGCAGGTACGAGTGAGAAAGCAGGTACGAGTGAGAAAGCAAGTACGAGTGAGAAAGCAGGTACGAGTGGGAAAGCAGGTACGAGTGAGAAAGCAGGTATGAGTGAGAAAGCAGGTACGAGTGAGAAAGCAAGTACGAGTGAGAAAGCAGGTACGAGTGAGAAAGCAGGTACGAGTGAGAAAGCAGGTACGAGTGAGAAAGCAGGTACGAGTGAGATTGCTTACCCTTGTGAGTTTCTCGATCTAGTCACCACGTGTTGAGCCTTATTTCTGTCCATGCGTGTCTGCATTCCCTCCACCCTCTCTCCCATCAGGCATACACATTGTTTTGAGACGTCTCAAAACATCTTTTTTATCACGTGGCGTGTCTGCATTCCCCCCACCCTCTCTCCCATCAGTCATACACATTGGAGCTAGAAGCAGCGGAGATTGTACGACAGTACGACCCACACAAGTGCTCTATGTTCCCCCTTCTCCTTTCCCCCACACACCCTCCTTTCCCCCCCACTCCCCCTTCTCTCTCCCTCTCTCCCTGTCTTCCTCTCTCCCTCTCTCGAACGGTCCTTGCATTGATCAGGGGGGTGTTGCAAAGGAAGATGCAAACACAAGCCTCTCTCCCTCTCTCTCTCTCTCTCTCTCTCTCTCTCTCTCTCTCTCGAATGGTCCGTGTATTAGCTGAAGGGTGGTACAAAGGTTTGAAGCTGACACGTGCAAACTAGGCAAACAAGCAGGCCTATCAACCATCACCTACTCTCTCTCTCTCTCTCTCTCTCTCTCTCTCTCTCTCTCTCTCTCTCTCTCTCTCTCTCTCTCTCTCTCTTTTTCCCCTCCCTCACTCCCATCCCATCAGGCACACACAGTGGAGCTAGAAGCTGAGATAGTGAGGCTCAGAAAAGTGCCTGTGTTCTCACCGCCAACCCCCTTCCTTCCCTCCCCCTCTGTCCCCCCCCCCCCCCCCATTCTCTCCCATCAGGCGTACACAGTGGAGCTAGAAGCTGAGATAGTGAGGCTCAGGCAAGACAACAGCCGCCTCAAGGAGGTATCTACCTACCTTTCTACCTGCCTTCTCTTCTCTCTCATCCAGTGCTCCCACCCGTTAAACCACATCTTACCTCCCGTTTCTCCCGTTTTTACTTGTTGTCCCATTGGTCTCGCGAGTCTTGTTCGTTACCTCCTCGTCTCGTCTCATCTGTGCTGTGCTGTGCTGGCTGCGAAATTGGTCATGTAATCTGCTCTGTTGCTACTTTCTGTTATCACACGTGCCTGCCCTGCCCAGTCGAGTGCTGGTTGGTTACTGGGTTAGTTAGTGCTGGTTAGTGCTTCTTGGGTGAAGCCTTGTAATAGTAACCCACTAATCGCCTGTTCTGCTCCCATTGTATGGCGCACTGTGCAGGCTATAAAAGGCGAGCATTCAAGGCGAGAGGTAAGATCGCCTCACGTTGCGTTGCCACACTTACCATAACTCGACTGTCCCATTTCAAATCCATTTGATCTGGTTCATCATGTTAAACAGCTGATAGTTCCCGCTTTGCCCCTCACCTCTCCCCTCTCCCTTCTCCCCCCCCTCCTCCCCCTGTCTTCCTTTTAATCCCCCCCCCCCCCCCCCCCCCCCCCCCCCGCCGGTTCCCCCACATCCTTCCCCCTTCCAACCCTTCTGCAGGCTAAGAGTAACCTGAGCAGCGCAGCATCCAGAACGTTTGCATCAAATGGTAATAACGAGAGCTTAGGTGACTGGGTGCATGCAGAGACAAAGGATAATGTGGCTGGATTGAAGGAGCGGGCTTGTGGATCGAGCCACGCTTTTCAGGATCTGAATTGTAGAGCTAAGCTTCCTCGCGCAGTTTCCTGGTCATAGAGAGAATTATTCTTAGAGCATGTTTCAACGGCCTCATATCAAGCAACCTCGTATCAGGTTTGCGTCGAACCGCACTAAAACGCATCCAACCTCAGTCGAACACACTGAAACGCATTTCACCACGTGAAGCTGATACGATGTGTCTGATACGAGGTGTCATGCTCTTAAGTAAATGTAGCTGGGTTATGGAGTGTTTAGTGGCGCAAAACTGTACTGTACCTGTGGTTGGATGTAGTGGAATCAGTAAAGGTTTGATTCTGCCATGCGGTTCATAAGGGCGTGTGTGATTTTCTTTCAAGCTTCCCAAAGTTTGAATTTTCATAACGGTTCTACATGGTAGTATGCAGTTGAGAGAGATTGATGACCACAGTACAAAGCGGTTTGAGTTTGAACTTTGACAGTTTTCCAAAAATCACAAAGCCGCACACACCAAAGTACGTATGTTGAATCACATTGGCGGTGTTCGCCAACACACGACAATTTGGAAAAAAATCCCCCCTACTCCGCCTCTCCCTCCCCCCCCCCCGCGCCTCCTAAAGGTGCATTCCTACCTCGTGTCAGACACAAAGTGGAGGTTTGGATGGAGGTTCGGAAGACCCGAAGTGGCCCACTTCGGGTCTTCCGAACATTGATTTGCCAGAGTTCCAGGTCACTTCGGGTTGTTAGAGTAGGTAGCTAGGAATGATGAGACTATCGAGAAAGTTTGGTACAAGGGAAAACCGTAAGGGGTTGTACCCTACATTGGCTACCCCACTACAGCCTAAGTAATCAAGTATGGCATATACAGTTTGACACACCCCCATAGGCAAAGTGGGGGAGAACAAGGGGTCACAAGACCAGTCAAGAAAAGCAATGCAAGCTCAGTGTGGATCACAACGTCACCACATACTCTGAGCACAAGCAAAGGGGCCACAAGACCAGTTCACATGCAGAGGTATATATGCAACAACAACAGTACAGTGATCACTACCTAGCAAGAGTAAACATGCAAGTATATATACATACAGATCACAGTACAACCAGAGTCTACAGCAAGTGAGGAAACGTAGGCACCAGGCCTAGAGCAGTGCAGAAGCGCTGATGATCACCAGCCGGAAGGGCCTTGGTGAACACACCAGCCGTGTTGGCCCGGGTGGGCACGTGAGCGACACGAAGCTGACCATGCTGCTGCAACTCTCGAGCAAGGAAAAAACGCAGAGCGACGTGCTTCGTTCTGTGCTCCAGTCTGTGGTCCTGACACAAGGCAATGGCAGCCTTGCTGTCGACGTACAGAACTGGAGGAGAACGAGGCCTCTCTCCCAAGCCGGTCAGCACGTAGGTGAGCCAGCGTAGCTCCTGTGCAGCCATGGCTCTGGCGTAGATCTCAGCCTCACAACTGGAGCTGAGAACAGAAGACGAGCGTGTAGACCGCCAAGAAACAGACCCAAAGCCAAGGCTGAACGTGTAACCCTATGACGACCGCTATGTAGCCAGGTCGTCAGCCCAAGAAGCGTCTGAGTGCCCAGTGAGGACAACTGAGCTCCGCCCTCCAAGCACGAGCCCCATGCCCGATGTACTGCACGGATAGCGTAATACCCTCTTCGCAACATCCATGTGCACCTTTTGGGGCCTACCAGGAGCCACGTAGCGTGCCAGAAGGCCAAGAGGGTACGCGAGGTCAGGACGAGTGCAGGTCAACAGGTACATGAGGCAGCCCACTAGCTCTGGGTACGGGCCACTCGGCTCTACGGACTCATCCGAAGGTGGAGCTAAGAGCGAGTGACCGGTAGCCAGAGGAGTGGACTGTGGTGAGGACCAAGTGAAGCCGAAGCGCTGAAGGACCTGCTGCACCATGTGTGACTAAGTCAGTGTGATGGTGCGCCGTGCTCTGTCCTAGGTGATCTGCAGGCCAAGGTAGCTGCGCAGCTCACCCAGGTCTGTGCACGTGTGTCTCTTCTACAGCTCCGACTTCACAAGGGAGAGAGCCTCAGTGTCAGCAGTGGCAAAGACCAAGTCGTCGACGTACAAGAGGATGTAGAACGGCAGCAACGAAGAGTCGGTGCGAAGAAACAGAGAAGGGTCAGCAGTGGAGGGTGCAAACCCAAGAGCCGCAAGTGTCGTCCTCAGTGTGTCGTGCCACTCACGAGGCGCCTGACGGAGACCGTAGACCGGCCGGCGGAGGCTCCACTGGGTACTAGGAGGGAACGACCCAGTGAAGCCAGGTGGGCGGCGCAGCCAGATCTCTTCGTGCAAGCTGCCCTGTAAGAAGGCTGTGCTGAAGTCCAGAGAGTGAAGCTCGTAGTCACGCTGAGCGGCGACGTGCAGCACTACCCGAAGAGTGGTCATCTTCGGGGTGGGGGAGAAGGTATGGAAGAAGTCAACTCCTTGTCGCTGATTGAAGCCTCGTGCAACGTAACGAGCCTTGAAGACAGGCGGAGAACCCGGCAGCCGCTTCACCCTGAAAATCCACATGCCATCGACTACGTTCGCCCCCAGGAGGGGGAACTGCGTTGACGTAAGTGCCTGTGGACTTCCAAGATGCCATCTCTGCGTTCATGGCTGTCTGCCACTGAGAGGAGTACTCACCTGCGATCGCCTCAGCATAAGAGCGCGGGGTCGGGATGTCAGGAGCATCCAGGTCTCCCTCAGGGGCAAGCAGCATGGCCACGAGATGAGGCGGAGCGGCTGCAAGACACTCAAAGTCCTCCTGCCTGTCCTCAAGGACGTCCATGCCAAGAGCACACTAACCCCCGACGGACGGAGGACAGACAGACTCAGACTCAGCAATAAGACTAGTTGCAAAGTCTAGACGACAGGCAGCAGCAAAGTCAACAAGCTCAGAAACCAAGGCAGACGCAGCAGCAGACTCAAACGACGCGTCAGTGACAACAGTAGCTAGCAGACGCGTGACAGTAGGGTGAGCAGCACGAACCAGGTCAGTCTCAGGGTCCTGAACGTCAGGCAGAGAAGGCGCAGGAGGAGACGCCAGAGGGAAACACTGTGGAACAGAGGAAGGACGAAGTGCCAAAGTGTGCGTGCCGGGGACAGAAGGAGGACACTCACGAGGAACACGACGACCAGCGCGACCAGCGCGAACAGGCGAGGCAGGACGAGATGCAGGCTCACAACGCTCCGTAAGCGAGTGTGTCTGCTCAGTGTACGGAGAAGGAGCAGGCAGTGGTGTGGCAGGCTGTAACGGGAGGCCAGTAGAAGACGGGAGGCTAAGAACCTGGCGAAGCACGGAGTCAGGCAGAGGCAGAGACGACGGTGACAACGGAGCGAAAAACAGTCGCGGCGGTGTAGTGCCACCAGTACCAGTAGCTCCAGCGCCTCCAGCAGCTCTAGAACCTCCAGCTCTGGCGCCTCCTGCAGCTCCAGAACCTCCAGCAGCAGCACCTCCAGCTCCAGTGCCTCCAGCACCAGCACC